TGTTTCGCTATCGGCGTCTGTCGCCACCCTTGCGCTATAACTTAGTGCGGGCGAGCGCTGAGGGATAGAGAGAGCCCCGACGGCAGCGGAGACCGCGCCGTCCGGTCCTGGGAGAGGCGAGGGACGGCCGGCGGGGCCGTCTTGGCCCCGGAGCTCTGCCTGCAGCCCCCGTGCGCAGCCCGAGCCCGCACCGGCGCCTTCGCCGTAATGGATTTCACAGGGGCCGCGACGGGAGAGAAAGAGCTGCGGGAGGTGATGGACGCGCAGAAAGCTGGATAACACCCGAGCTGGGGAGGCCCCGGCGCAAGGAAGCCAGGGAGGGATGGAGTCGGGGCGCACCCTTCTGCTAAGGGGGGTTTGTCGCCGCGCACCTGCCCGCAGCAGAGCCCCTCACTCTCCTTTCAGCAATAGAGAGGATTTTATAGGAGCTGGAAAACACCGCTCGAAGTGCAGTTTTCGGACCGAGCCCAACGGGCTTTGCTGGGATCTTGCCAAGGTCCCAGACACACCACTTTTGTCCCCGGTCCCCTCAGGAGAGCTTGTATTTCGCAGCGGTGTCCCGGCCAGCAGCTGCGAGGCAGGGAGGCAGCTTGCGATGCCAAACTCCCGGGAGCCCCGAGCTGCAGAGGAGCTCAGGGGCCAAGAGGAGCCCAGGCAAGCCAGCAAGGCAGAAGAAAAGGGGAGTGGAGGGTGGAGGTCAGGCCCTGGCTGGGCTGCTCCTCTCTGCTAGCAGGAGGCAGATGCACACGATCAATGAGAGAACCTGAGAAAGGATCCCTGGGCACTTCGTGGGGAGGGAGAGCCTTATGCATCAAGAAAAACCCTCATCTTGTTTTTTCCTAGCATGGATATAAACTGGGCCCTCAGCCCTCATCTGGGGCAGGATTAAAACACCATTTTGGAAATGAACTTGTCCCAGCAGCTGTTTGGAGTAGATGAAGGGGGACAAAAGTTTCAAGGCTTGCAGGAATATGTATAGTGGTTGTGAATACCTCAAGGAGGTGAGACGCTCTGGAGAAGTGGAGGGCAAGGACTTCCTGGGCTTCCTTAAATTATGAATTTTGCAGCAACTTAGTGAATGTGTCAGCTCCTGCACTGGAGGCTTTTGTCTGCCTCCACGGAGGTCTGACCCACCTTATTGGTGTTTCCCACAAAACAGGATTTCTCTGTACAGAAGAACTAAGAACTAAAGCAGCAGTTTGAGGAAGCATCTGGGAATGTCTATCTCCTGGCTCTGCCTAGACAGTGATATCTGAATTATTTTTGCAGGGCCTGGCATTTAGAGTCCTAGCAAAGAGTGACAAATCCAGCCCTCAGCAAATGGAAGCATACTGGCCGCAAATGCAGGCAGAGGCAGCTGGGCTGGGGTGCCTCTGGCCCCCACCCCAGGGATCCATTTGTAGGCTCACTGGATGCATCTCAAAGTGGGTGCTGGTCCTTGTAGACTCTCCTGTTGTGATGTGAGCCTGAAAGCACCAAAACTGACCCTGACATGTATTAGTGTGTGAGCTTGCAGCATGGCCTCTTTGGCCTCAGAATTAGGGAGGCAAAACCAGTATATTAATTGACAGGACGTTTCCAGAGCCTTGTGCTCTACAGTAGTGCTCAAGCCACAGCCCTAGAGAGCCTAAGGGGAAACTGAGGCCAGGAGCAATTTAAACTGGAAATCTCAACTGGGTGTTGTCCTGGAGCTTAGATGTGCAGTGGCCAAACTTCCAGAGCTAGGAGCTGTGTGGCTTTCTTAAGGATGCGAGTGAAGTCTGGCTTGTACAGAGAATAAATCCTAGGGCAATGCATCATCCCCAAACTCACCAATAATTCCCATTGATTTCCAGAAATTTTGAATCCTTGTCAGGACCTAGCCCTGCCTGCTCTTCTCCTTTGTCCTCACTGGGTGCTGGATGAAGGAATTCTGACTTACCTGTTATCGGTTCCTGGCAAGCTTTATTGCCCCAAAGCCTCTACCTTGGGCTCAGCAGCTGGGGCTGTGACCCTCACTAACCAGACTGGATCACTGGTGATGACCTTGTGATTTCTCGAGGCCAGTCCCTCTGGGGCCTTCAGCATCTGCTCAGCCTGGGGGATCCCTGGCACAGGGGAGGCCAAGGCTTTTCCTGGCATCACCTGGGGCCTTTGGGATGTGCAAGCGGCATCAGGCAGCTGTGTTATTTACTGGAGGGGGGCATCTCCCAGGTCTCAGGACTTGGCAGCAGATCTGCATCCCTCTGGGTGTCAGAGCTCACTGTCAGGGGACTTTGTGGCACTGTGCAGGAGTGGCATGGCATTTTTATTGCTTCCCTGTGGAGACAACCTGATATGCTCAGGGCAGGTGAGCAGACTCTGCCCCACATCTCCTGTGTGACAAGGTGCAGGAGAAGAAGCTCAGGCATATCCTGAGGAAGGGGAAAGGCAGCTGCAGTCCTGTGGGACAAGAAGGCCCCCTGCCCGAGGGCAGCCTCCCGGCCCCGGCTGGCCCCAGCCCTCACTCCCTCCCTCCTCTCCCAGCTCCTCCTAACCACAAGGACTTTGGTTGATGGAGCTGGCGCCAGCGAGTTCCCTGAAGAGTTCAGAAGTCAAGAACCGAGGCAGGTACTGGGAGGGGGGGGAAATCTGACCCCAGCAGGCAGGCAGGGCTGGGTGGTGGCGGGGGCAGGCTGGCTGGGCACCGGCCGGGCACGGGGCCGAGGGGTGGCTGTGGGTTGCTGCTGCAGCCCGCTGTCTCCACAGCCTTCCCGTGTGGGGCTGTGGTGGTGGGTGTGGTGATAGCTGGGCTACCACAGCAAGGCTGTGGCTTGGCTCAGGGTGGCAGGAACCCACAAGCACTGGTGTGTCAGTGTGTGTGTCTGGGGGTGTGTTGCTGCCTGTTGTGGGAGTGACTGTGGGTGTGAGTACACACAGCTGTGAAGGTGTGCATGAGAACGTGTGTCAGAACTTGTGTGTGCGGGGGATTGTAACTGAGTGTGTGGGCATTTGAATAAGAGCACAAACGTAGGTGTGTGTGCAAGAGAATGTGTGGAACTGTGAGCATGGGTGTGAGCTCATGAGGGTGTTTGTGAGCTTGTGTGCAACACTGGGAATGTGAGGATGAGGATGGGATGATATAGCTGGTGATGAGTGAGGAGGTGTACCTGAGTGCACAGACGCGACTTTCCATGCCAGTGCCGTTTGTTTTGTGTGGGGGATACCCCAGAGCAGGCTGTCCTGTGGGGTCCCCACGGTCCCTTGTGGGCACTAAACCACGGGCATTGTGAAGACCTGAAGGGCAGCCTTTGCCCCAGCCAGGGAGGAGGGGGCCTGGAGGGCCGGTCGCGACCCGTAGCGGGAAGGATAAGGCGGGCAGAGCACAGACTGCCGGGTACAACCCTGACACCGCGGCCGGGAGCGCTGGGTCGCACTGGGCAGCGCCGGTCGGCAGCAGCGGGAGGCCGGAGGCGAGGAGACGGCAGTGCCCGGTCCCATCGGCGGCTCTGCCCCCGGCCCGGCTGGGCAGAGCAGGCACCGACGGCCCAGGGCCGCAGCAAGTTTTACAGAAATTGCAATAGCGGCTTTCATTTTCATGTCGTTTTAAACTTTTAAAATAATTCTGGGGTTTTTTTGGGGTTTTTTTAAAGTTTTTTTAATGGAAACACTCATCTCCCCGCGGGCAGGAGCGGGAGGGGACGGCGGCAGCAGACGGTGGGGCCAGCAGTGGCGGGTGCCCTGTCAGCGGTGTCCGCTGTCCCGTGGGGCGCAGCTGAGGCCTGCCATCGTCCCGGGGAAATGAGCCCCTCCCCGGCTCTCCGGGAGAAAGTGTGCTTCAGGAGCCCCTCGCCTCCTCCCATCCCACCCCTTCCACGGGTCCGGGCACTTGCGGGGTGCCCTTCTCAAGGTCCCCATGTTCCTGCTCTGGGGTCTGGTGCTGGGAGAGCCGCCTCCTCCGCGGCTTTTTGGAAGGCGCTGACTTTTGAAATTGAGAACACTCTTCCGGAACAAAGGGGCACGGCGGGTCTGGGACCCCACCAGAAGGGGATCCTCCAGCTTCAGCCCTCGCTCGGGATCAGCGGCAGCCCTTGGGGATCACAGCCTAGGCTTGAGTCTCCTGGGGGCCTGGCAGCCAAGATCCCCCTTCCCAGCAGTCTGCAGCCACAAACTTCGGGACCAAACAACCCCGTTCTGCCGTCCGGTATCAGCCACTATTTCACCCCCAGTGCCCTGCGCTTATCCAGCGCTCACTTTATAAGGCCGGGAAGGGCGGTGATTTTTTTTTTTTTTTTTTTTTTTTTTTTTTTTTTTGTGGGGTGGGGGTGCGAGAGGGGGCTGGGGAAGAAGAAACTCCTCTTGTGTGCTCTTCTCTGCTGTCATTCACTGAGCTGCTTTCAGCATCCAACCAATGGAGAGTGAGGGCCTGCAGCAGTAGGCCCTGGGTAGGGTGATTGATGGGCAAGCGGGGCGGCGGGCGATCGCACTCACAATCCGCCGCTCTCCGCTCCGCGGGGCTCCCGGCTCCCCACCGCCCGCCGCGGCGAAGGGTCCCCGGGGCACCCTTGTGTGTGTGTGTGTCCGTGCGTACGTCTGTGTGTCCTGGGTGAGAGGCTCCTGACGTGTCTTGGTACATGGTGGTGCTGAGTCTCATCGGAGTGGGACCAGTGTGCGCGGCTGGGGTGTCGCGTCTCCGCTCCTGGACGCTGTCGGGTGTGTTTGGCGCGGTTGTTTTCCCCGGTGTCTGTGTCCTGTGCCGCGCTGGGCACTGCTGTCGCGTCCCGGGCTGGGGGGTGTTTCAGTCTTGTACCTGGGCTGCGCATGGCTGTGCTGCTGTGTCTTCGTGCTGAGCGTGTGGCTGCCTTGTCCCGGCCTTGCGTGGCTCTGCTGGCGTTTCTTGGGGTGCTGTGCCGTCGTGCTATGGGACTGAGCGCGTAGCCGGCGTTCCCCGCTCTGCGCGGCCCCGTTGCCGGTTTCGGGGCGGTGCGGGCTGTGCTGCCCTGCCCGGGGCGGAGGTCCGGCCCCGGTGCCCGAACGGCGGCATGGAGCACCTCGGGGCTCACCACCTGCACCAAGGGCAAGCAGAGCCCATCAGCTTCGGCATCGACCAGATCCTCAACACGTCGGAGCCGGGCAGCTGCATGGTGTCGCACCCGCGGCTGCAGGACTCGGCGGACTACGGGCTGGGCTGCATCGTGGGCAGCGCCTATAACACGGTCACGGGTGGCTACGGGGCGAGCGGCGGCGCGGCCGGCGCCTACACCGGCACCTCCTGCAGCATGGGCGGCCTGCCCGGCTCCTACAACGTGAACATGGCGGTGAGCATGAACGGCAACACCTTGAGCTCGGCCGGCGGGGTGATCCGCGTCCCGGCCCATCGCCCCGTGGCCGGCGGCGTCCACCAGCCTCTCTCCGCCGCCGTGCCGGCGGTGAACGGCATGAACAGCCTCACGGGGCTCACCTTCCCCTGGATGGAGAGCAACAGGCGGTACACAAAAGACAGGTTCACAGGTGAGTTGCGCCACCGGGACCCCGCTTCTCTCTCTGCTCCCGCCGCCCCGCTTCCTCCCCCGCCGCCCGGCCTCGGCGCGACAACCGGTGCCCACAGGGGCACGCAGGATCCAGCCGGGGATCTCTCCGCCCGGGTGGAGAAAGCAGCTGGGATGGTCCTGAGAAGTTGGTCAGGGAAGAGGCCACAAGCAACACGGGGTGGGAAATGAGGCGTATCCAGTCCCCCCTAAATGAGTTGTGTTTCCTTTTGTTTGTTTGCTTTGATATTTTGGTTGGTTTGATTGTTTGTATATGTGAGGTTTTATGTTGTTGTTTTAGTTCCTTTTAATTTATTTATTTGTTTGTTTGTTTGGTGTAAGTTTTTTTATATTTTTTTCCCGTGATACGGGTCGGCAAAGGCGGGCAAGGAAGAAAAGGGATGGTAAACTCCGTACACGGCCTCCCGCGAGCCCCGGGCACGGCTGCCCAATCCCTGCCGCCCGAGCCAGCGCCCGGGGAAACTTTCCTTCAAAACCGAGAGTGGTTTGGGAAGCTCGGCCCGGCCGGCGGGAGGGCAGACAGGCGGCCCCGGCCCCGGTCTGTCCCGGAAGGCCGTCCCGTTGTCTTTCTTAACCGGGCTGGCTTTTCCCGGTTGCGGGTTTCGGCTCAGCCTTTTTTCCCCCCAAAAGGGACTTTTTGCACACCCGAGCAGAGCGGGGCTCGGGCTAGAGCCGCTTCCCGGCCTCGCCACTGTTTGTAGGTGTAGCTGGGCTCGTCTTCGGCACTAACAAAGCAAAAATTCGAACAACGAAAAGAAATAAATAAAAAAGACTCAAACAAACGAACAAAAGAAACGAAATCACAACGGGGAAAAATCAGCGCCGCTTCCCGAGGGCGGAAACCGAGGTCCGATTTTTGAAAGTTCCCGTTTAATTTCAACCCGATGGCGCTGGGTTTGGGCACGGCCGCGGCTGGGGAACGGGCTGTTCCCCAGGCAAGCACCTGACTGAATTTCACTCAGTTTGTTCTTGGCTTAGACATAATATAATTTTTCTTTTTTCTTTTTTCTTTCTTTTTTTTTTTTTTTTTGGGGGGGGGGGTTTGGGAAAAAAAAAAACCCAAACCAACAAACCCAAACAAAATTTAAAGCAAAACAAAAAAATAGCAAACAAACAGAACAACAAATCTCAACTCCAACTTCCAGTCCGAGACTGTACTTTCCATGTACGAGGCGCTGGGGTCGGGGGCCATGGGGTTACCGCCGCGCCTAAACGAAATTATCCCGAGCCCGCTTGGCACGGGGCGCGGAGCCCGGCCCGGCGCCAGGACCGGCTGCTGCTGCTGACCCTCCGTTCCCCGGCGGGCACTTGGCCGGGCAAGCGTTCACCTTCCCCTCCGCCGGCGCCGAGCGGTGCCCGGCGGGTGCCCGCAGCGCCCAGGGAAGGCGGCCGGGCCTTCCCGGTAATCGGGGCCGCCGCCGCTGAGTTTTCGCAGCTCGTGCGTGGGTGTCGGCGGGGCCGCCGCGGCTTCGGAGCGGTGGGGGGTGGTCCCCAGCCCAGCGGCCGGGAGCCGGAGCCCCTCTGCTGATGTGTCGCTGCTTGCTTCTTTGCCTCTCATCCCCCCTCCTCCCGTGTCCCCCCCAGTGGCCCTCTCACCCTTCACTGTAACACGCCGTATAGGTCACCCCTACCAGAACCGCACGCCCCCCAAGAAGAAGAAGCCGCGCACCTCCTTCACCCGCCTGCAGATTTGCGAGCTGGAGAAGCGCTTCCACCGGCAGAAATACCTGGCCTCGGCCGAGCGCGCTGCCCTGGCCAAGGCCCTCAAGATGACGGACGCCCAGGTGAAGACCTGGTTCCAGAACCGGCGCACCAAGTGGAGGTGAGGGACCGGGGGTCTGCGAGGACCGGGGCGGGGCAGTCCGGCGGGGACAGACCTTGCTGCCAGCAGCTCTGTCGGGAGCATTGATGGCAGCGCCGAGGCGTGCAAGCCCCGTGTGTGCGTGAATGTGACAATGTGTGTACACGTGTGTGTGTGTGCCTGCGGTGTGTGCACACCTGCGGGCGTGTGTGCAAGCAGGACACGCGTGTGTAACTGCACGGTCAATGTGAAGGCCACGCGTGCCCGTGTGTGCCCGCACTCTGTGTGTGTGTGAGTGTGTGAGCGTGCACCGGGGTGTGAGTGCAAAGCACAGCCCCGCGGTGTGGTGTGTGCTGGCCCGGCATTACCTGGTGTGAGCACACCGGACCTGCGTGCAAAAAAGCGTGCGGGTACGCCACGGGGATGAACGTGTGTGAGCACACACGAGTGCAGTGGGTGCAGTCAGTGTCACCAGAGGGTGCGGAGGCTCCGCCGCGGCAGCGGCGTGTGGGAGCTCCCGGCCTGGGGCTGTCGGAGTACCGGGCTTTGCACAGCGCGGAGATTTTCGTCCCCGCGGGGTTCGCGGCGCCTCCTTGCCCAAACGCTTTCTTTTTGTTCTGCTGCCGGGCGTGCCGCTAAAGCGGGAGAGGGAGAAAAGGCTGGGCTCACACGGAGTCTCCAGGGCCCCGTCGCAGTGACCCTGCCCCTCCCAAGCTGCACGTTCCCGGCATGTTCCCTTGGGAGACACCCCAGCCCTGAGAACACCTCCTGCCCTGGGCTGGGTGCTGACCTGCTGGGTGCTGCGCACTGGGTGCTGGAGGGCAGGCAGGCAGGCAGCTTCTTCAAAATGGGAGAAAAGGACTTCCGCAGAGTCTTCCCAAGGATTAACAGGACAGTGATTGCCTGAGTATGTTGGGGTTGGGTAAGAAATGGGGGTCAAGGAACTTGAAACCAAGAGGGGGTGTGAATCCTCAACCCCAGTGAGTTCTTCTCTAGAGAATCCATGGTAGTGCAATTCCCCAACTGTTTGGAAGTCTCTAGCTAGAGTGATCTCTATTGGCCAGAAAAAGAATCCTGGAGGAGGAACAGTCCTGCTGTGGCCTGCAAAATGGGGTCAGCTGTGTCTTCTAACCAGGTTTCCTAAGGAAGTGAGGCAAATCCATCTGTCAATACTCTTTGCGTCTGTTGGCTAAATTCAGCCTCTTTTGGCAGAAGTGCAGAGGATACAAACCTATTCACGTGTTTTACAAAAAATAGCTGGGTAAAGAGAAACTAAATCCTGCTTCTGCCTAAGGGAGAGGCTGCAGCCAGACCTCAGCTGTAATATTAGACATGGGAGAATCTCTGGCCTGAGCCAGAGGGACACAGGCATGTAAGTTCTGCTTGTATGCATCTGTGCCTGCTGGTGTTGTGATGGAGCTATGGGTGCCCCTGGCTGATAGTACATCCAACTTCCTGCCTCAGGACCCTCCACTGGGCAGTGGGCTCTGAGTGGTTCCTGGGGCTGAAAGCTGGAAGGAGATGCTGTAGGCTCGGCCTGATTGAGGCAGTGGGAAGTATCTGAGAAAATGGAGTTGCTATAAGCCCTCTCAGCAGTTTAACTGCTTGAACACAGATTAGGGGAAGAGTCTTGCCCCTGCCCCTTGCCTGGCTGTCTCCGCTGTAGGGAGGTGGCTGTGTGATCCCCTCCTCAGATTTGGGCTCTTGCTTTAGACACAGCTCTTTCCAGGGAGATATGAACCTGGAAATCCCATTCTGATACGAATCCATGACTAGACCAGCTGCTTGCAGCAGGGAGATACTTGGGAGCAAGGTGCTCACAGCCATGGTACTTCTGATCACCCTGGACTTGGGGCTCCCTCCCTCCCCCTGGAGCATCTCCTCGTTTTGCAGGGAGTCATTAAATATTCATTGAGGCAGAGAACAAGCTGCTCCCCGGGTAGGTGCAGCTCTGAGCCCGCTCTTCCCTGGATGTTTGATGTGAGATGTTGACACACTGATTAGAACAGGGACTGAGCCCTGAACTACCTGCTCCCAGCAGGGAACACTGGCCACATATCTGGAGGCTTGGGTGCCCAGAGGCCCATTGCTGGCATCCAAATCCCAGTCTGCTTCCCCCTTGGGAGCCAGGGACCCCTGCCCTGTTCTCTGAGATGCCACTGTGGAGATCAGAGCTGCCACTTCCAATTCCCATGGCCAAAGGGGATGAGACATCTCACATCGCTCCTGAGCTGCTAAATTAAAAAGCTGCCATTTCCTGTGTCACTGGTCCACTGAAGCTGCTGAGAGGATGTCAGCTGAGCCTGGGAGTATAAGGGACGGAGAGAATGCTTTGGGAATCATCCTGGGACTGGCATGTGAGTTGCTCCTGCGTTTTCTCAGCAACATCAATAGAGGTGCCAGGTGAAGTAGGGGTGAGTGCAAGCTGCAGACTTTAGACTGACCTGCCATCCAAGCAAGCAGGAGTGGGATTTCCATTGTGGATATAAGAGGATTCAGGCTATTTCTACCCATCCCATTCTCTGTTCCTAGGCAGCCTAGAGCCAGGGCCCAACCAACACTGGAAAGAGCCCCTTCTGACCCCCTAACACCCTCTCCTTGAGGATCACCTCTGCTGGTGTCATACCAGGCAGACACATGTCCAAACTGTTCTGAAAAACGCTGTCATTCACCCTTTTCAGATAGTATATTCTGTGCTTTGATTTTTGTTACTGCTAAAAAATGTGTTTCTAGTGTTTAGCTGAAATTTTGCTGCCTGCCATGGGAAAGTTTTTGCCTTCTTCCAAGTTCTCAACAGCTGGTCACCACAGTGTGGCAGACAAGGTGGCAAACCCGGATGCCGGAAGGGGACATCCAGGGTGACATTGCCCATCTCCCAGCTGTGTGGCACTGCCAGTCACTGTCTCATCCCACCCTGTGCCATGCTTCTTCCTGGGCTTTGCATGCTTGGCTCTTGCTGTCAGATACCAGAGCACATTTTCAGGGGATTGCAACTTTTGCAATGCTGTTCTGTGGCACTTTGGGTGTTTTGTCCCTGCTTGGTTTTTTTTCCTGTGGGCAGAGAGTAATCCAAAGCTGTGGGCTGCTCCCAGCTCTCTTTGATCAGAGCAGTGTTTTTACCGAGACCACTAAGACAGACAGAGCCAGTCTATGGGATTTACTGAGATTTAAGTACCAGTTTATGGGATTTGTATAGGGAATGTGGGACCATGCCATGGCAAGGCACCCTCTTTTCCTACCCCTGCCCTCCCACATCATGAGCACCCAGCACAAATTAATCTCTGGAGACACCCTTCCCTTGCTTCCCCAGGCCCCCCTAACGGCTCCCTCTCTCCTAGGAGGCAGACAGCGGAGGAGCGGGAGGCTGAGCGGCAGCAAGCAAACCGCATCCTCATGCAGCTGCAGCAGGAAGCCTTCCAAAAAACCATCAACCAGCCCATCCAAGCCGACCCCATCTGTGTCCACAACTCCTCTCTCTTCGCCCTTCAGAACCTCCAGCCTTGGTCTGATGACTCCACCAAGATCACCAGTGTCACCACTGTCGCCTCTGCTTGTGAATAATCTGGCACCCACTGGTGGCACCTACACCTTCTACTGGGGGGCTGTCCCCAGGGGGACACGAGGCATCCTTGGTAGGACATGTAGCAACTCTGTTTCTCCCCGAAGAGGGCTGGAACCCCCCTATCCTCTGGCCATGTGCATCCTATGTATCCAGTTGGGAAAGCCCTCCACAAGGAACAAAAAGAAGGAAAGTCACCCCAAAAACTCTCCCTAGCCATGGAGTTGCTGGAGCAGCAATGCTGTTTCACCTCCCCCCAACCCCTTTGTTCTCTTGAAAGTCTCCAGTGTCGACCCTGAACTTGCTGACGTGCTGCCAGACAAAAGCCCAGCCCTGACAGACACAGCCGCTGGTGATCATCCAGCTGGGGAGAGGAAAACTTCCTTAGGATTCTACTGGCAGCAGTGCAAAGTCTATGTACACCCATATATATATGTATATCTATATATATCTCTATATAGATATATATAGGTATATGTTTTGAACTGTTGGCTTGAAAGAAAAGGAGAAGGCTCCCTGGGAAGCACGTCTCTGCTGTGAGCCTTCTTGGGTTGTCCGCACCAGAGACATTCGGGGATGCAACAAATGGAGGAAACAGCAGCAATTTCTGCTTGTGCCAGATGGGAACCCTTCAGATCTCACCTCGCTGTCTCTCCTCCCCTTTTTCATTAATTTTTTCTTGCGAAGGGGAAACAAGAGAAGGATCTGACAGACTCCTGAGGACGGTAAATATGATATCTCAATTGTATGAAGAGCCCAAACAGTCCCTGGCTGCCACGGACTCTGTGCCCATCAGCGAGTATTTTAATAATGAGAAGATCTGGGTGGCAGTTTGTGGGGGTAATGCAGTTTCTTTCCATGGAATATTTCCATATAATTTGCAAAATGTTGTCCAATGTTTTGTTTTATCAGTTTCCCATTAGAAGGCAGTTCCAGACAACAAAAAATCGATTTCACTCTCAGATGTTCAACTTAGTTGTTCTTTTAATTGTTCTCTGTACCAAGAGAATGAGACAAAATTGAACAAAGCACTTCTAGCAAATGCCGGGAATATATAGCTATATATATATATAAACAGTATATATTTTTCAGTTACTTATAATCTAAAACAGCACTGCCAATTTAAGCAGTTAGTACAAACAAGCAACCAGAAGACCTATTTTCAGTGAGATTTTTTAAGGCATTCGTTTGTTTGCTTTTTTTTGTTGTTTTGGTTTTTTTAAGTTATGCACTTACAAGGTGTTTTATGTGTATTCATTTTATAAAGTGCTTGTGTAATTTATGTGGAAATGAAAAAGAAAATAAAAAAATCTCCAGGGTACTGAATAAATCATTTAAAGCCTTGCTGTTCCCTGTCTATTAGTTCCCCAAGAGGAGACAGCATATCACAACTACTGCTGAAGCCTGTGCTATTATTTTTAAAATAAAACTAGAGTTATAATTTCCATTTGACTTTGCTCAGGTCCACTTGGCTTTGGAAGCTCCAGATGTAATATGCTGTGTTTTAATCCCTGGTCCTATAAACATTTTCAGGCTTCAACCCAGCAGTGCATTTAGTGCTTGCTTTAATCAAAGCTTTTCTGTGGGGGCTTGCTGGGGGTGGCAGGGACTCTGCAGGGGCTTAGCCTTAAACTTATCTGGAATAATTTATTGAATAAGACCTTGGAATTAGGTCTCACCTGGGCTGAGGCAGATCTACAGATATTTGTGTCTGAAACTGAATATGGAAAGGGGAATTTGAGTATAAAGAAATGTGCAAGAGTACATTTTGGAGACAGCCTTGCAGGGCATTATTCTGGGGACACTGTTTTCCATTTGTACTCGGCCTTGCTGCAGGACATTGTCCCCAGCTTGGCAAGCCCTTCTCAGAGGAAAATCAAACGGGTGGGAAAACTCTCATCAGCTTCCTTGGGGGAGACTCCCAGCCCCGTGGCTGGCTTCAGCCTGGTGTTTCCTTCCAGCACTGGGACTTACTGAGTAAAGGAGGTTGGAGGATACGGCTGGAAGGGGCAGTGGCGGGGACCCCCTGACGGGCCCTGGGCTCCAGGCTGCCTGTGGGACATCTGCAACAAAGCACCCCAAGCCTCTGATACCTCGTGGGGGAGAGTGCTCCTCGAGGCTGGGTCCTCTGGGCACAGCGCTGCTGGGGAGTTTGCTAAGGGAGCATAGGAATAGCCTGCTTCATCCAAAATCTGCTGCTGTGGGACTGGGCTGAGAATTTATGGTGCTGCAGGATTTTCCCGTTCTGCAGTCCAATGTGTATGAGAACACAGAGAAACACCTCCAGCAGTGGAGAGAAAAGAAGCCAGAAAAAGCAAAATAGGGTAAAACACAGGAAAATATGGAACTTGGAGAACATGCAGTTTTGGAAATATCTTTAAAAGTTGTTGATTTCTGCCAGAAGAATGCTAAAATAAAATAATACGTATTTTTTCCAACGTCAGTTTCAGGGAAGCTTTTTGTTTGAATTCTGTTTCATACTACAGTCAGATTTTTTTATTCTGATTAAGCTTATTATTTAACATGCACCCAACTTTATCTACAAAATTATAGGAGGCATTGCTGTCTACAAACCTTTAATGGTTCACAGTTTATTGCAGGGTGTATTTTTGTTTTCAGGGTTTCTGCATAGGAAAAACCATCAACCACACTAATAATAATAACAATGGTAATATAATAATAATCCCTGTTGATATTAAAACTGTTTTCTATTTTATTATGACACACCAATATTATAAAATTTAATTCTAAGACAACTGTTTTATAATATCCACTTTATTCAGTTCATAATCAAAATGTTGAAGAGATGATAATGCACATTTGAGGGAATATGTTTAGATAGAATATTTAGCTATACCTGGTTTTCAAAACTGTCAACTTCCTCCTTTTCTGAACAATCTTTCCTGTAAAAAAAACCCAAAAAACCAAAAAAAACCCCAAAAAAAAACCCCCAAACAAACAAACAAAAAAAAAAACCAGAAAAAACCCAATAAACCAAAAGTAAAAAAGGAATCTCAATATGAAATGAGAATACATTGGAACCAGAAAAACAGTTGCCTGGCCTTTCTTGTCCATGGAAAATTGATTCTGGAGGAGTTTTCTCTTAAAATATTTCTCTTGGATTCATTTTTAAAATTGGTTTAGTGGCAGAAGGTGTTTTTGATATCTGCATATGTGCTTCCAGTTATTAATATGACGATTTGTACCTAGACAATAAAAGTTGTCTGAAATATGATGGAATTAAATCAATAAGTAATGACATGAAATAATGACACGTAATGTTATGTTTTGTAGACTGACATCACCTCAGCTGTATCCTGGGGCCATCCATATCACATTGAAGGCTGATTTAATTTTTTGTATTATACTTATTTGGGAGCAGGAATAAAATTGCATTAAGATGCCTTGAAAGTCATTTCCCCCTTCCTTCGCTCTCAAAATAAAGCAAATCCCAAACATGAAATGGGAGTCAGGGAGAAATGTTTTCCCACTGTTTGCCTGTATCTAGGAAATGCAGACCAAGGCAGAGTGACTTTGGTCTGTGTCCTGCCTGAAGCTGAAGGCACAGGGCGTCACAGGGGACTGCGCTGTGGTTGTGCTCATCTCTCACCCACAACGCTGCCAGGGATCCAGAGCTATCACTCATTTGGGCTGGATGTCCTGAGCTTTTGAAGGTGAAATCTGGAGGAGGGGAAATACTGTCTTTGCATGAGCAACTGGAGTATTAAACATCTGGAGGAGACAAAGCCCTATGGGATGGGCTGTGGTTGTCTGGGTTTGGTCCCAGCTCAGCACACTATGAGGGCAGGAGGGAACCAGAGGTCTGGCCCCCATTTAGCCAATTAGTTGAACACATGAGTCATCCAAACAAGGATCAGTTGGTTTGTCTCTGCTGAGGGATGGCCCAGAAAAAGGCTGAAGGGTCTTTGCTGTAGCCTTCCACCCGAGCAGAGCCTGCAGTTGTGTTCGGCACGGGCCAGCCCATTTGATCCCTGCACTGCATGCACACCCAGTTTCTACCTGAGTACCACATGCAGCTTTTCTTGGGCTGCATTACCGCATCTATGGGGCATTTGTTATATCTTTTAAGTTATTTCTGCTGCAGCAGCAGCATCAGTGAGAGCCACGCGTATTTGCCTGAGAAAGACTGAGGTGAATGTACGTGTCCTCTAATATGGTTTGTGTAATTGATAATGAAAGGAGGCATTGACCCACAAACACCCATATGTGGGGTCATTTTCGTTATCTCACTGAGTCTGTTGATTGGTGTTTTTGAATGTGCTCCTGATTAACCAACACACACACAGAAAAGCTTAAAACCGGGGCTGCAGCCTCAGCACGGCGGCAGCAGGAGCCCATCCCCGCGGAGGCAGCCCCTCCGCTCCAAGGCCAGCTCACAGGCACTCGGGGCTAGAGGGGGTAAAAAACCCCAACCAATTTACTGACAAAACTCAAAATGGCTTTGCTGAAAACTGTTTGGGTTACAGTAAAAAGCCATTCCTCTCTGGGGTTCTGGGACAGCTGGAACTTTTTGAATTAACCTTTTTTTTCCCTTGCCAGAAGCAGACTGGCTGAGTGACACTGATTTCTTCGAGCAGCGGTCAGCTTTGATGGCCACTTGTTTAAAAAACATTTGTGAAATAATGTTTGGAATTATCAGATTATCCTGGGTGAAAATTTTCTAAATGAGAAGGTCTAAAATTTGGGGGGAAAAGGTAGTTTTTTTAAACAAATATTAAGGCAAGAAAAAACACACAAAGCTATAGATTGTCAGAACAAACTTCTGTTGGAGTCACACCAGATTGGTTTTTTTAAGACCTTTTGTTTGTGCAGCTAACTGTGATTTGATATTCTTTAAATTATTGTTATTGTCTCTGTTACAGTACTCTGGGTCAGCATTTATCTAAGTTTAGAACAGAAGATTTCCCCCCTATTCCTTTCCATTAATGAGAAACTCTTTGTTACTGGTAGTTTTAAATTAATTCTGTACATTTTTTCAAGT